AACTCCACTTGGTAACAGGCTCCCTGCGGCTGGGTTCACCTCAGTGACGATGGCCTCAGCTCCTTCATTTACCATTTGGGAACCTCCATTGGCAGTGGGACAGGAATGTTAGCCATGGGCCATCCTGATCAGGAATTAATTCCAGGAAGAGAGAAGCCAGTGGCATTTGGGTATAACACCATCCCGTCTAATAAAGTGTCATTCCTGATGGCACGGTCACCACCTCCAGGAGCACAATGTTCCATCCACTGGCTCAGACAGATTGATGTATCAGCAATCTCTCTATCTAAAGAGAAAGGATGACATCAGCAAACAAACAGCAGCTGATTCACTGACGGTTAGCGTTGTGTTTAACTTTTCTTTTTATAGACATTCCCAACAAATGGGAGATCAGTTACTGTTTGCCAAGGAAACCCTTTGTTTGTGCCTATAAATTACAACTAAATTAGAAGAATCTGGTGATGCTCCGTGGATCCTGTCCAGGAATGGATCCTGTTCCTCGATTTGTGGAGCTGCAGTTCCAGCCCATCATGGCTGTGCCGACCAAGTCTCTCAGTCAACAATAAATGTCATTGTACCGTCACTGTGAGTCTTGTTTATTGCTGTCTTCCTGACCCACTATAGCTTCCTGCCCAACTCCACACTCACTCAGGTCAGAGAGACTCGGTAAACTCAATTTTCAGTGCAGCTGGCTGTCCCGTGCCATGTGCAAAGCGGACAGTGTCCTGAAACCTTTATCTCCATAACATTGTATCAGAGGTCACAAGAGTACAACAAAGCACAGTATATAAAGTTATTTCTCCAAATCCAATGCCCTTTTGATTTAAAATGAAATCTTAATGGGATGCAATGAACTAAAGAAATGAACTGAGAAACATTACAGAAAGGATTCTCTCAATGGGCATTGGAACTGTTCTGAAGCTGAACAATTCAGAATTACTCACAATTTCTCATCTTGACTGTTACTAAAAATAGCAGGTTTCACATCACCCCCTACATCAGGGTCTACAGGGCAATAGCTTGGCAATGTTCTCAGAGGGCGTGGGGAATAGTGCCTCCCTCACCCACAGTCCCTGTCATATTATGGCTTAGAGTCCAAATCTCGAAAAGCAGTATATCTCTAAGAGAGTTAGGTGACATCATGATATGTGGCATTCTATTAGAAAAGTCCTCATCTACAACAGCACAATGCATTGGAGGCAGTGCAATGTGTACCCAATCAGCCATGTGTTGTGTTACCGTCATGTAATGTAGCCATAATATCAGTAAGCACAGAACACAGACAATTTGTAAGTCTTAGATCTTATAGCAGCCTAAATAAAGCTGCTAGTAAACTTCAAGACATCTGTCTCAACAGAAACCCAGCCATCATACATGTTTTCAGGTCCAACATCTCGGGAAATATTGAGCCCAGATGATATTTGCTGCAGTTTTTAACCTCAGAAACCACTTCAGGGTGGCAGATAGCTTTTCAAAAGGAGGTATTAACCATGGCACTTGTAAAGACCGAAGTGCTCTCATCCAGCCTGAAGCACAGTAGGCTCAATGAAGGAGACATTTGTCAGTATACTCACATTAACAAAACAAAAGAGGCCACAATTTTCTGATTCAAAATCGGGAGTTTTAATTTTGGTTCAGGAAAGCTGCAAGCTGGGAAAATGATCCTCAGGGAAAGCACAGGCAGAAATGCTGAAAAATGGTTTCTATGTTATGAAGGCCTGATGTATGTCTAATGTCTGTGTGTGATCATGTAGAGTATTCAATACCAACTAAAACTACATCCTTATCAGTTAAGCCAGATAAACAAGCTCAGGTAAAAATGGATTTTGATTTGACTTATTTCTGTCACATGTACTGAAGTACAGTGAAAAGTGTTGTCTTATGTGCTTTATAGGCAGATTGTGCTATAAAAGTGCATCAGGGTAACAGAACACAGCAAGCCTGGCAGCGTTTGGAGGAAAGGAGAAGCCAGCATTTCGGTTATTGCCCTTCTTCAGGACTGGATGTGGGAGTAGAGGGAGCTGCAGATAAAGGAGGGGGGGATGGTGGTAGCTGAATGATGGTAATGTGCGCACACTGGTAGGAGATAAGACCTGGCTTGTCGACGGGAGGGATGAATCTTGGAGGGTCAGAAGGTGAAATGGAAGGAAGGAGGTGGGGTTAGAAGGGGAACTGGGGGATAGGCAGGAAGGTTATTTGAAATAGGACTCAACGTTGAGTTTCCATCGGGCTGCAGGGTGCCCAGGCGGAAGATAAGGTGTTGTTCTTCAAATTTGCATTGTGAGTCGCTGTGACACTGCAGGAGGCCAAGGACGGACATGATGGAGACAGAGTGGGGGGGAGGAGTTGAAATGGGCGTGACTGGGAGGTTAGGCTGGTCGTTTGGCCATTACAGGCCAGGCGAAGATGGTTAGCAAAACGGTCACCTAGTCTATGTTTGGTCTCACCGATGTAGAGAAGAAGATGCTCAGTGGAGAGCTGTCTGGATGACAGAGGGGGCCGTTCTTTGAAAAAGGCAGACATCTGGGAAGCTTAGGAGTGGAATGTCTCCTCGTCAGAGCAGAAACTGCAGTTCATTGACTGTGCCTCCTCCATTCCTCACTCCACATCTCTATACCTACCCCCTTCCTCCAAACATGATAAAGATAGGATCCCCCTTGTCCTCACTTTCCACCCCACCAGCCTCTACAGCCAATGTATCATCCTCAAACACTTCTGCCAATTCCAATTAGACCCCACCACCTGGAACATCTTCCACTCCCCACTCCTCTCTGCCTTCCACAAGGTCCATTCCCTTTGCCACTCCTTAGTTCACACCACACTCCCCACCAAACACTCCAACCCGCCCAGTACCTTCCCCTGTAACTGTAAAAGATGCAACACCTGCCCACACACCATCTCCATTCAGGGCCCTAAACAGTCCTTCCAGGTGAGACAGAGCTTCACCTGCGTCTCCTCCAACCTAGTCTATTGCATCCAGTGCTCTCGATGTGGTCTTCTCTACGTCAGTGAGACCAAACGTAGACTAGGTGACTGTTTCGCCGAGCATCTCCATCTGGCCCGTAACAGCCAACTTAACCTCCCAGTCACTGCACACTTTAACTCCCTATCCCATGCCCCCACCGACATGTCCATCCTCAGCATCCTCCAGTGTTGCAGTAAAACAGAACACAAATTTGAAGAACAACACCTTATCTTCTGCCTGGGCACCCTACAGCCCAAAGGATTCAACAGTGAGTTCTCCAATTTCAAATAACCTTCCCACCCATCCCCTAGCTCCCTTTCCAGCCCTGCCTCCTCCTTTCCATTCCACCTACTGACCCTCCCTTCCAGCTACCACCCAGATTCATCCCTCCCATCAACCAACCAGGTCGTACCTACCACCAGTGTCCACCTATTGCCAACTTTCTGCCTCCACTCCTCCCCCCACCCTTTATCTGCAGCTCCCCCTACCCCCACATCCAGTCCTGAAGAAGGGTAATACTCGAAACATTGACTGCTCCTTTCCTTCAGATGCTGCCTGGCCTGCCATGTTCCTCCAGCCTCCTCTTTGTCTACCTTGGATTCCAGCATCTGCAGCTTTTTTGTCTCTAACAGAACAGAGTGCAGGATACAGTGTTACAGCTGCCGAGAAGGTGCAGAGAGAGATCAACATGAACATTAAAGAAGAGATTCAATACATGATAGAAAGTCACCTGATTGAACCTAGCCAAAGCAGTTGGAGTTCACTGATGGGGTTAATTTCTAAACCAGATGGTTTGACCAGATTCTGCATAGATTAAGAAAAAATAAATGCAATAACAAAAAGAGACTCCTACCCAATTCTTCAGTTAGTAGATTTCATTAATGAGGTTAGTGGTACTTCATTCCTTTCTGAGATTGATCAGTTGAAGGGGTTAATGGCAACTATCATTAATATCAAAATCTAAAGAGATACACAAAATGGGTTATATCAATGTGGAATCATGCCATTCAGGTTTAAAAAAAAAACAAACCTACATTCCAAAGATTTCTGAATCAAGTCATATCTAAAATGCCTAACTGTATATTTGTTTGGATAATGTCATAATATACAGTCAACACCAGGGAAGAGCATGTAAACCATTCAAGGACCTATTTTGAGCAATTACAGTTAGTTGACTACGTAATAATTTGCCTAGAGTGAATTTGCAAAATCAAGGGTGGCTTACCAAGGACTAAGTCAGAAGTCACACAACATCAGGTCATAATCCAACAGGTTTATTTGAAACCGCAAGCTTTCAGAGTGCTGCTCCTTTGTTGGGTGAAGTCAAGAATAGAGAAACTAGCGGTGTGCTTTTCTCAGAAATTAAACCATTATCAAACAAAGCCTTCTACAGCAAATTATTATTAGCCCTTCAACATTTTGAAATCTATATAAATCACAGCAGCAAAGAAACACTGAAATATACTAACCAGAAACCCTTGACCCTTACAGAAAATTTTAAGACTGAAAATGCAAAATTATTTCAATGGAGTTTATTCACTTAACCACTTAATCCAAAAGTTGTTCACATAGTTTGAAAAGATAATAGTGGACACATAATACTGAATGTGATTGTGTTGGAATAGTTTAAGAATTTGGGAGGAAATTGACAAGAAATTGGTTAAATCATCATACAGAGTAAGGGTGATAGAATGTAATTGTTTGTGGTTTCTTATAAATGTGCTATGTTCAGCTGATGCTGAAATGCATTTAAGAATGACATTTCATCTGTTTAAGGGTGAATGCATGCATGGGATCGTATATATTTCATTTTAGTCAATAGGTGTCAGATACTGCTGTGTAGCTAAAATACCTGTAGAATTTTGCAACTTGAAAGAAACAAGTGGTGCACATATTTAGCTGTACAAGACTACCTTATTTTTGAAGCTGTGAGGGAAATCATTCAATTATTGAGACAGACAGCACAAGGAGATTTTGAAATAAGCAATAAGTGCCTGATGACAACCCAAGGAGCGGTTGAGCTGCAGTTTGCAAAAGGACAATGCAGTCAGAAACATCCAGAGACTGTAAATAGAACACTGTCTGTCTCTTTCTCTGTGTTGGTGATAAAACGAAAAAGAAACAGAAACTTAAAGAGCTGATTATTATTAATTCCACTTGATCAACTATTGACCCAAAGAATAACTATCAACAGAAAACAGTGTGTCTTCATTACTAAAACCAAAATTACTGTGAGAAATAACTTTCCAAATTGTAGTCAGGATTTTTAATCTTCAGAACATTGTTTTCCCAGACTCTATTTTTTTTACCCACAATATGTGTCAAACTATTTATTTTTGTTTGTCTTATTTGTGAATAAATGTGAGTCTGCTTGGAATTTTAAGGGGCTATGGTTTAAGTCACATTGTAGCAGAGCAATGTTTTTGTTCTCTGTTATTTGTTGAAGAAAAGGCTGCTTTATAATGAATCAAATTATTTTCCTGTTAGTGATGAAACCTGTTGTGAATTGTTTTTGTCTGAATAGCAATCACATCAGGTAAATTGATCATCTTGGTGGCTTACTTAATAATTTACAGATTTGTGATGGCTTGTGTAATAGTGGGGTGATGCACTATTTCCAGTTAAGGCACAACAAATTAAACAACAGAGGATAGAAAGTGTAGGACAATAGTAGAAATCAGATCGATTTAATTCAAAAACTAAATTTCTCAAATGGCCATCACAGCATTTTGGTGAGTGATTTGGAGAATGGGCTGGTTAGCTGGTAATATCAATGACTTTGTCCGAATGCTTTGGGAGCTTGATGTGTCTATCATGGTTTCAGGGTTCCTCAGCTTCATTTTCACAGTCATGAAGCTTCAGGTAAATACTGCAATAGAATGGGGTAGATGGTCTCTGTGTTCTTGTATTTGTTCCTGTGACACACTATCTCCACCTCATACTGACTGAACCGGAGCTTGTGAGGTTGACTGGATGAGCTGAGGAAGATGATGATGTAGAGGGCAAACTCAAACTCTGGGCTCACTGCCATAAAGCAGCTGCCCCGCATCTTAACCCCCTTTTTCCAGCTGAAATGTAACGTGATCAGGTGCTTGTTCTCATCCAGCTGTGAGAAAGGTAAAACAAGCCAAGGGAGAGTGTTAGTGGCCAATCACCTCGAGTGATCTACTGCAATGGCTCCATTAAACCCTGAGCCCCTCAGTGAACCTGCAGCCACCTATGGTTGACACATTTGGCTGAACAGCTGGTTTGTGATGCAGAATGATGCCAACAGCCAAGGTCAATTCCCGCACCAGCTCAGGTTACCATGATGATACCAGCTTCACAACCTCATCCTTCTCCTGAGACATGGTGACCTCCAAGTGAAACTCACCATCAGCCATCTCACTCTAATAAGAGAATGGGACTATAGTGACTTTGTCTTTTATTATTTATACAGAATAAAGCCATGTCAAATTTCTAGGTTTGAACCCACGGTGTAACTTACTTCCATATATAACTGCACACTTCATCTATTTTACTTTGTTACTTTCCCCCAGTCTGGAACTCATGACAGTAGTTTATTAGATTTTTTATAAAGTCTGCTGAACACCATGATTGATTACAATCAGTAACTCACAACTGGTTCAGAACCATCCTGTGAATAAATTACCTGGATCCTTTGATTATATTCCAGCATGTGATTTATTCCTGAGTCTCTGTTAGTCCATAACTAATCATCCATCAGTATACCATTCATCCAATATCCACCATCCCATAGCCTTGAGTACATTCCAGTGTGTAATTCATTCACAGGTACCTGGTACAAAAACAAAGTTGCTGGAAAAGCTCAGCAGGTCTGGCAGAATTTGTGAAGGAGAAAACAGACTTAACGTTTCGGCTCCAGTGAACCTTCCTCAGAACAGGTACCTGGTTTTGTATGTAAACCCCCTCGATTAGACTCTGTCTATAACTCTGAGCCCTCTCGGTCCTGTGTAATGCTCACCTTGAGCCGGTTATTTTTCACGGTGTATCCTTTGTAAACCACATGACCAAGCTTTTCCTGAAGGTAGAACTGGATCCAATTGTGGAATCCGATGACTGTTCGTCCGCCTCGGGTTTCACTAACAAATACATGCTCAAAGCCAGATGAATCAGGGCTGGAGGGAGAAAAACAGTATGGAAAGAAAGTTAGTGCAAGTAATCCAGTTTTTTCCCAATTTCCAATCCTGGAAAAAACACTGACTGTCACCAGAGTACAGTCCCACACCCACTGACTCTCACTGGGGTACAGT